TAAGGTTAACGTTTCTGCCCGTAGCAGTGGTTATTGCTTGTGGTGTCTTCGCTCTGATCTGGCTGGTATCTTCTTTGGTAGAGACGTATATAAAACTATTTCTCTTCGCCTCGGATGTGGAGTCTTCACCATCGTTGCTTTTCCCCTCCATGCAATCTATTGTTTCGGACATGGTCATCTCTGGTTTTGATTCGTCTGTGACGCCTCGGCTGGTTCCGCTATGTCGGAACAGTGTATGAAGGTTAGATTACAACGCATCTGTTTTATTATTGGGGTAAGGAGGGTAATACATCTTTATCCGCTTGGTGATTCGTCTCATCCCAGATTGGTTCTATTCTTAATTGGATTGAGCTTGAACTTGTTTCGCTTTCGCTGGAATCTCATTCTCTAACTCTGTTTCTCCGGGTTTGCTATCTTGTTGGTTTAGTATTATCTTTCATGTACTTGTAAGCTTGTTTCATCTTTTGGACGTCGTTCTCGTCTTGTGGGTTTGTGTTCTATCATGTGTAATTCTCATTGTTGAATGGTTTTCACTATCTTTAGATGACAAAAAAAAAAGAATAGAATGTCGCCTATCTATTCATTACATGATGATTTTTAATATTTTTTTTTATATTCATCTACTGATCTTATCAATTTCTTATGTTTTTTTTTTGTTTATATATGAATTATGTTGATGTTTGTTATGACACAATATATGATTTCCTTTCAAAATCTCTTGAGACATGACACAGTTGCAGCAATGTCTTCGGATATGCTGGAGTATATCCAGGAGTCAGCAGGATTGTTGTTATAATCTTTGCATTTGTTTATATAGGAATCCTGTCGAGAATTTGAAACAAGAGTCGGCTTCTTGAAAGCACATGTTTTTCTGTTTTAGAGGCTATTGAGAGTTTAATTTTATGTCTTTATATGCCTCTAAATACGTGGTGATGGTTGCAGTTTGTCTTCGTGTAGCTGTGTCCAAAACGATTGACTATTCTCAGACCTCAGACATCTAACTATGTTATATCTTGGAAAAGCTTGTGCATCATCTTTCCTTTTTTTGTTAGAAGGTTTTATAAAATATCATTTGCGTTTCTATTTGTAATTTTAATAGAGTAAGGTGCCAAACTTATATTGTATGGGATGATACATTACATTTAATTATCTGTCACGTGTAAATTTGGTTTTCATACTTTCTCTATCTATTTTATTTATGCTGGAAATGTGAGTATGTTTTGGCTTTTTTAGATGCAAACCATGGGGAAATGCTAGACATGTTGAAGAAGAATCACAACCATCTTGGATACTTTACGGATGGTTTCTTACACATGAATGTTTCTTATCTTGGTAAAGATTTTTGGTTGTAGCTTAAATTTTCATATTTACATTTTTTCCTCTTATGTTAGATCGTTTGTAAGCTTGAGGATATTTCTGATGCAGAGTTTCCTGTGACATTTAAAGAGGCAAACAAATATGTTGGCGAGTTGATTTTAGGTGACTCTTCTTACAAAGTACACTCCATATTTGTTTACAAATAGCAATATAATTAATAAATAGCAACGTAATTTCACGTTTTACACATACCTTTTTCATTATGTGTGGCATGTTTAGGGATTTTATCAATTAGGTTCGTCTTAGTTTTGCCTCTCTTCACTAACCTCTTGTAATTAAGGCCAAAAGACCTTTTGAAGAAACGCAAGAACTTAATTATTTTTTTTTTTGTGTGTTTTGTCTTATTTTGAGCTTTCAGTAATTCGTGGTATGCAAGGGAGGAGGAGTGTGACTGTGAAAGAGGTAAATGGGAAGGCAACATCAGTCACGGAGAAGTTATCCTTTGTGGGAGTATCAGGATCATCATCGTGATTGTGTGCTTCCACCTCCAAGTATAGACGAGTGGTACGGGAGGAGGAGCTTAACGGAAAGTTTTTCGCCACCAAGGAACACTTTGGCCTCGCCATTGAGTCACATACATGCATACTTTACGGTTC